CTTTCCCTATGAACTCCTTAACCTGATCTATAGACGTTTCTCTTTGGATTAACTATGTTTCTGGGTCCCATGTATTCTTCACACTAAGACTTTATGTGTATCTTCCTTCACACTAAGACTTTTTATATATCTGTCAGGACCTTACCTAGAATCAATTTTAAAACCTAGTTTTCCCTTTTTTCTTGAAGTATTTTTTAGCTTATAAAAATGAGCTAACCTCCTCACTTTCAAATCTTTTATTTACTTAGAATTTATCAATAATTGAAATTAAGATCAAATCTTAGTAATTAAGCTGGAAATGTGCTATCTGCAGCTTATTTTCTTGGGAAGAGCAGGATCTGTTTCATGTGTGACAAGTTCTGTCAGCTGAGTATCATTTAGCATTTTGTTATCGCTAGCTAGTAGAGGTAGCTTCTTATTCTCCTTACTCTGAGAAAACCAAGACATTTCAAAGCCTTGTTATTTCCAGCACTCATCACCTGCATCTTGGGATATTTTAAATGTCTCAAGGTGTTTTTTGTTTTCTTTTCTTTCTTCATTGTTTATTTTTTCTTTGTTTGTGCCTGGAACAGTATACTCATCCTCTGATACTCACAAGCTTTTATGCTGGACAGACAGGAATGAAATGTTCTGTCTGGTCTTGTCCTGTCTTTGAAAATTCCATGCTCTGCCTAATGCTTTTATTCAGCTGCTATTTAAGAAGTAGCTAGTAATAATTAATATTAAATTATTTACTCCTCTATGCTAATCCATCTGATATATACGAAAAATAAACTGCGTGCTGGGAGACTTAACTCAATGATCATTAGTACTTATCTAATTATTTCTTTACTGAGTAGTATTTTAATGTTTGAGAGTTATGCCATGCTTCCCCGACATGTTCCAAACAGTACCTTCCTGTATACGTAGCCCCATTGACCCCAAATAATTCCCCAGTGAGTATAGGATTGTTTAGGGAGGATGACAGAACCTGGCCATTTTTTTAATAGTATTTAACTACTGTGCCCGCTATGAATAACACTCAGTGAGGGTTACAGCTGAGCCATCTCATATCTCATACAGGCCTTCAACAAAGTGCTTCTCCCTGACCTGGGAGTCAGAGGCGGTAGCTGTTTCTGAAGGTAAGAGGATACACCCTATCTTTTTAAAGGTGAAGGAAGCAGTGTCTCTCTTTTACACAGCATAGTTATGATGTATGGTAATATATATTTAAAATTTGCATTTTAGAGGCAAGATGTTGAGTCACAGAGAAATTAAATGACTTGTACAAAGTCACACAGCTGAAGCAGGCAATAGCACCTGAATTTTTGAAAACTCAAACTAGGACCTTTTTCTGAGATCTTTCTTTTACTTTTTCTGACTAAAAAATTCTCTGATTTTGTAAATGAGAATGAATGGTAAACACTCATCCATTTTTGCACTTCTTTTCTGTGTCCTCAGACTGGCTCAGATATTTATTAAAATGTATATTTGTATTTAAATAGCACAAAGTCCAGTAGGGTTTTTTTTTCCGAAGTTAGACCTGGATCAGTTTCTAATTTAAAAATGCATTACTATGAAAGCAGTTTAACAATTACTGTTATATATGTTAGATGCTAATAATTCTGTTGTATTGTGTAAAAAAATAAAAAATAAATAAAAAAAATTACATTGGAAAATCCTTATTAAGCTGAATTAAAGGTAAGTGTAAGCATTAAGGTTAATTTTTACAAGTTTTCAAGCATATTTCAAAAGGGAAAAGTAAAATTGGTCATTGTGAGTACATAGTGATGAAAAATGATTTGATACAATAAAGGATAATTTCTTTAGTTTCCAGAGCATAATGGAGTATGAATCATATTTAAAATTAATGGCTGAGAAGGTAGATCATGATTTGAATGTCATCAGTAGCTATTTTACTCCTCCCTAAAGCAGCAACAAGCCTTTTATAAGAGATGAGTTCTTGCCAACAAGTCCCTCTAAGCTATCTGAAAGCTCTTAATTTATAACTGAGTGCTATAGAAAATGTTTTATTTTGACTTTTTCAGTATCTGGCGTAGGGGGACCAGATTGGGAATGTAACCCCATCATTCAAAAAGTAGTTACTTGTTTGCAAGCAGTTCTTTAAATGCAAATTTTGCTGGCAGTGTGTCCTCATTTTCAGATGCCTTGTAGTCCTCCATTATCCTTTTTTACTTCTGTAACAGATTCAGAATGATTTCAGTGACTTCTTAAATTTTCACTTTGGGACAATGCTGGATCCCTGACCCTTCACCTGAAGGCAAAACCTCCAATTTCAACTCTCAGCACCACACCAACGTTGTTGGCTATAGCAGTCCCGAAGACTCTTGTCATGTACCCACCCATTGCCAAAGTGTTCAACTGTGTCTGTGTGTCAGGCTACTGAGGAACTCATGCCTGGAGGCATCCTGCCTCACACGCAAGAGATGCTGTCAGATAGATACCTTGCTGCATGGTTTGTAAGGTCCTTCTAGCAATCATCCAAACCTGATGTATGTGCAAGACATATACTCTAAAGCCTATGACCTCTGTGCAGGAGCACCACTCGAGTGACTAGTAAAAGAGGAAGTACTGCTATTAGAGCAAAATAACCTGAATTTACAGCTACAGCTGGAACTCTTGGTTGCTGATATTGTGTTCACTAGGGTCTGTCTCAGCCTATACCTGGAAGCTTATTCATAAAATATCTGTATAGAGCAGCACCTTCTTCTTTTCCAAAACTCAGGAGAAAAGAGCTCTAATATCTCATGTGGCATGCCCATAATCCCCTGGTTTCCCAACCCCAGAGGGGATTTCTGAACTGCCCTGAGGTAGTAGAGTGTGGTGTATGCTTTATCCTTAGAAACAAGAGAAAAATATCTATATGAATATCTATCTATCTATCTCGCTAACTAGGACAAAAGACCTTTGTTCTGCAAACTTATAAAGAACCAGTTCCTTTGACAGCTTCGAAAGAACAGTATCCTTGTGATTTCCAGAAATTACTGGACGGAATAATTCGCTCCGATATCGGATCGGTCTGGGCAACACTTGGAAATCAGGTATCTAGTAGGCAATAGAGTCTTCAGATGAACATCCACAAAAGGTGAACAAAACTTGTCCCCAGGGTCAGATATCCTAAGGAACATATAAACAGGAAGAACAAAGAGAGACATGTAAACAATCAACTGGTAGCAGATGCCCGGCTCCAGTAGTGCCATTCTGCTGGGGCTGTTACACGAAGGCTCCAGTTGGCCCAAACGCTACCATGTTTGATGACTAAAGAGTTTCTTGGTTCGTACCATGAAACCAAGTGCCAGAACTGTTTCCCACCTTTCTCCTCACCTTAATGGGTTCCCTGGAAAGCATCCAGTGGAAGACAAGGTCCATGGGTCACAAGAAGTACTTTCCATCTTTAAAAACACCACTCTGTTAAACTTTTCTTAGTCTGTTTGTTATTGTAAATGGGGAATGGGTTACTTGTCATTTGAAAGCTACTTGTTCAAAAATAGCGCATTGAGCGAGGCTGGCTTCTGCTGGTTGGTGGGAGAGAAAAAGGAGAATAAAATAGTAAGTAGGAGGCGAGAGTTATATGCGGCCTGTGAAAAAAACTGTCTTTGCCCTGGGCATCTTGCTTGGAAAACATAGGGAACTTAGGATATGACAATACTCGTTTTAGTAACTGGAGAAGTAGCATGGGGGTGTGTGGGGGAGGTCATACTATTTTTTTCTATTTAAGTGGACCTTTGGGCGTTCCATTGCTGTGTATATGCAATAAGTGAAGACAACTGACTAGCAATGAGCTTTTTTTCAGAAAGAGGCATCTTGATGTTTCTGATAGTCAAAGAAACTAAGTAAGAATGAAAGGGGAAAATCTCTTTTTCTGCTCCTATGTATATGTAAAAGAATTCATGCTTTCTGATTTTCAGCATCAGTGGCAGCTCTGTATTGAAGGTTGAAGTCTGTTGTTGGAGATCAGACTTTCATTAAAACACGAAGTACACCTTTTCTTTGAAAGGACTATAGGTAAGACCTTTCCTGACATTCAAACTTTGTGTTTACTAAAACTGTTATGTACTTTGAGTTCACAGGCTGTCCTTAAGCTGTTGGAGTTATTACAGTGGTGTATTACCTTTCATTCTTCCACCAAATCTCTCATGCCTCATTTACTGTGCACTGTGGTATTTTGTGAGATTGTTTTCATTTTTCAGTAACTTGTATCACAGAGTGTCTACACTTTAGCCATAATTCTATTTCACTGTCAGAGTCCTCTCTCCTGTTTCTTTTGGAATTGTCTCTGGAAGGGAGTACTGATAGTTAAGTATTGCCAGTTAGGATTTCGGTTTAAAGGACCTGCAAAATTATGTTATTTCAAATTGATGTGAAGGCAGGATCACAGACTGAAAGGCCTAAGCAGATACTGGAATGGCTCATCTTGTACAAACGGAGATAGACCAGAAGGGATACTTTCACGTACAATAGCCAAAATAATACCCTTGCTTCTGGTTTTAGGGCATCATTCCTCATGCTGCACCATCCTATCCACAGTTTTGTAACATCAGAAAAACACTTTCTGCTGTATTTAGGTTCTTCCACTCTTTGGAAATATATAGAAGCTATTCTGCTAAAGGTAGCTCAAATTTTGTTGAAAAATGCTTCCCTTCATGCCATTACGGTATATTGTTTTGCAGGAGCTGAAATGGGTACAGTGAAAGTTAAGGACTCTAATGATCTGTAGCCTGGCAACTACAACAGTGGTTTGGGATTTGGAAGACATGTGCATGCTCAAGTTCTTGCTCTGACTGAAAATATTCCAGGATATAAAAAATAAGCCAAAGCAAATTATTCTCTCTGCATCCTACTCCCGTGCATCCTACTCCCGTGCATCCTAAGACATAGGACCCTGACCACTGTGTGGTAAGATTATGTCCTCTACTGAATACTTCCTAGAGCAAAAAAGAAAAGACCCCACAGCTCCCCTCTGCAATGTTTATATAAACTACTTCTTGTAAAAACACTTGATAAGTTTAGTTTTCATTTCAGTATAATGAAAAACTAAATATCAAATGTTGGAATTTCAAAAATGTGGTTGCCATCTTTTACCTGTTATAATGGAGTGTTATCCTTTCTTCCTACCTGATAGGCATGTGAACTATGTAGAATAACTCCCTGCTCCTTCTGCCTCCTCGGCTATCAAAGCACAAGGACTACACCAAAGTAATTCTTTTTCCTATATGGAATATTGAAAGGGCTGGTAATATTAGGAAGCTCACGGGGACATAAATAAATTGAAAGAATCTTTTGGTATGGGAAGACAACTGAAGAATGTTATAATCTAAGTAGTCTGAATTGCTGCTTCTAAAAATGGCTGTCTCTAGGCATTTCTCTATTGCACTTCTCATTTTATATAAGATAAAGTTGATACAGTATTGTGCTGTACAAGAGTGGCTCTGATGGTTTGAAAAGCAACCCTGACGAGATATAGAACAGATAGTTACAATGCTCATAGAAATACATGAGAAAAACATTGCATAGAGGCAGTAATTTCAGATCCCAAACATGTTTATTCCCCGTTAACAATATTTTAAAATGCAGGAAGCATTTCTGTGAAGCGTGAAGGATGACCAGGTTTAGCTAATGAGGCTGATAGTAACAATTGCTGCATGCTTGATATCTCTTGTATCCTGATGCTCCTTCGGACATGTCTTATTATTGTGTGGGTGTTAAGTCTGTCCAAACTCATAATCAATAGATATATGGTCATTCAGAGCGTTTATGTCTCTATCTTAGAATGGAACAAAGTGATCAGGATGTAGTTTGCTAGATTCATACAGAAAATTTCTCACTGAAAATCTGAGCAAACTAATTGCTAGCATTAACATAGGAGTCATATGAGCTGTGATAATGGTACGGATAATAAAACCCATGCCTCTGGCCATCACTTACTACCTAAGGGTTAAGCAAAGAATTTATTCAACCCTGAGCTGTGTTTTATAATTGGTTATTTGCATCTTGGAAGATTTTTGTTCTCTACAGTAGCTTCAGGTAGAATTCATTGACTCTAAGTCCGATGCGCTGCCTAAGTGTATCAGAAGAAAGGATGGTAGGGACCCTCAGTCAAAGAGTATTGGAAAAAGTAGAGTCAAAATGACATCATTTTCGGGTTTAAACAATTGGTTCTTTGAGATTTAAAAGAAATATCCCAAACCGGCAGCTTAGCGGCAATCTAATAGATCTATAAAATCTGTATATCTGCAAATGATGACATGATATTACGTGAACGTATTGAACAAAGTGGGGAAGTGCTTTGCTAGATGTAGTTTTCTGTTGGTGACATGACTCCTCAATCTCACAAGAAGCCTGGAATTTCCCACCTTTAATTCTGCACTGGGTATCATGGCAAATCAGATTAACGTAAGTCTCTCTAATGTCCAAACTATACCAATACCAAACTATTCAAGAGCTCTTAACTACCTGAAGATTAACTGTAGGATATTTTTCAGTTATTTACTAAAAGATGACTGGAACACAAAACAGCCACAATTCATTCAATCTGTCTTCAGATGCTTAGCTGAGGACAGAAGTTAGGAGTTCAGCTCTCTACTCTGTGCCATATGCAATCAGAAAGGAACCATGAGGAAGCAGCATGTACCTTTTATCCCTCCAGAAAGCAATTCGTCCCACAGCTCTTTCTCCATTAGCTGTAGAAAAAGCCCAGGGAGAGCACGCTTTTAATTTCAGCTGTTTTTGTGCATAGACTGACTTAGGTATTGCTATTCTGAGTTTATAGTCCCAGTCACATGTGCATAGGTAACAGTATCAGTAGATAAAAATGACCCCCTAGCTAAGAATACGGCAGGATGGTCCAGCCTCAGCTGTGGATGGTAGCTTACCCCTCGGTGAAATCCAAACCTGTCTTCTAGAAAAGAGCAGAAGACCTCGTATGCAGCTGAGAGTCCCTAAACTTACAGGTTGTACTCTTACCTGCCATCTGGATCATAACTTTTCTAGAACCTTGTCAAACTGTATATGCTGTGTCTTTTACATCCCAACAGGATATCCCATACCTATTGCTTTTTTTTCCAGTTTTCCCAGGATCAGCTGCACCATCCCTCTAGAGCTCTTGAGAGCGTCTAGCATCCAGCTGTCCTGGCAGAGAGCTAAAGCCTGCTCACTACTTCCCTTTTGGGTGGATTTTGGGGCAAGGACGCAGTCTGGCCATATGCATCTAAGATTTTGCCTTAGGCTGGAACTGATGCTCGTAGGGCCTGGAATATAACCTCTACAGACAGGCGATGTGACGACAGAAAAAAAAAAAAAAAAATTGCTGCAGATCTGTCCTACCACCTGTGCACTGTCAGATCTCATGAGAATTTCGGATCGAATTCACTGCCTAAATTTTTGCTGGTAACTTGAGGATACAGCTACAGTATCAGGCAGTTTTACAACTGTGACTGCTGCACTGGAAATTTTAAGAGGATTTTTTTTTCCTTGTACTTTTGACCTGCGAGACAGGAAACTCCCTGTTCTGAGAATTAAAGCAGCAATGCATTTCAGGTTTCAATTGTGAGAAGTGGAGAATTCTTGATAAGACAATTGCTGGGCTAAGTATTTGTTTAAAACAGAAAATGACTCATGAGTAACATAGGCAGCTAAATTGCACCATCTGGAGCAAGAGGCAGATGTAAGCATCTTTATTTAAGAATCAGTTTATAAATAATAATAAAAGATGTGTGGAATTAATCAGCTCCTCCTCTGTAGGTAGCTGCATTCAGGGGAAATAGCTGTGTTAGTTCACAGTATATCTATATACGCTACAAGAAACTTTGTGTAGACATCTGGAATAGATAATTCTTAATCACTTTATATGATTAAGCCAGAATAACTGCTAATGATTAATGGACAATATTGCTTAAGAACTTCGGATTACCCAACAGCCAGGACAAAGAATGGGCAGATGCTCTAGACTGGTTGTAAGAAAGAGTGAGAATTATAAGCAGTATAGGAAAGTGACCTTTTATTGTGTCAGGAACTGTTTTGTCAAATACCTACGTACAACACATTGCGCAAATTAGACTGATCCATTGACTGTGTTGAGACAATTTTGTTTTCCGTCTGGTCTTCCGGCCATTTTGCCTTGAGTTGAGCATTCAGAAGCTGAGGTACATAAAATTGTTGATCACCTTTCAGATTTTATATAAAAAGTGGTATTTCCATGATTTTCATTAAAAATAGAGTTGCATTGTTTTCACAGTGCTACTTTATTTTCAGTTGTTAATAAAATGTTACATTTTTATTACTGAAAATGATACCTAGAAGTCACAAAATGACTGCTACATACAATATATGACTACTTCATACAATGTTTATATATGGAAGGAAAGGAATATGTGAAAAATAATTCTGTAGATGAGCCCCAGCTACTTTCTCAGTTCATTTAAGCTCTTTTGAACCAAATATATATGCAAAAAGATAAAATAAATCCATATGTCCATGTAGGCAGGGGTAGACGACGATCTACAGCCTCTTAGGAGAAAAATAAAAGAATAAAAAGACTGATTAATTAAAACTTAATATTAAAGTTCTGTGCTTTTGAAAAGGCCCATCTTATTTAGTGCAATTTATTTCCAGATGGAAGGAAAACATAAGAAACATGACACTCACAGAGAAAAGAAAAACATTAGTGAAACCAAAGCAAGGCCACCATTTGGAGGTATTAGCTCATTTATAGAGCTTTGACAGGTGAAGATCCAGTTGCTGAAAAGAGAAGCTTAAGACCCTGCCACCAAAAAAACATATAAAGGTTAATATTTTGGATGCATGACTATTTTCTCATGTGAAGAATTGTGATACAGTTCGAAAGATATTTTATAGTTTGTATAATTAAAACATGTACCTATATACACATGTATATTACACTACCTATCCTAAGAAAATTATTAGTTTAATCTTGTGATGTGAACTAACATACCAGGAAAAAATGTTTGCGCTCTTCAGTGGATTCTTGTCTTTAGTGAACAGCTAGTCAGCATCAGAAAGGAGGATTTATCACAGAGTCCAAAAATTAGACTCTGGTAATTCTGCTTGGTGAAATTTAATTTAGATTTAATTAGAGATGGACTGCAGTCAAGACACATCTTCACTAAACATTTGCTAATACTAAAGGGGTAAAAGTTACCTGTGTCTTATTGAACCTCCCAACTGATAGTGACCTATGAAAATTTGCTTTCCAGTTGACAGCTCTCTAAATGGTGCCTATGGCAGAATTAGTACCTCTACAAACAGGGTCGCAAGAAATTCACATATTTAGCTTTTATAAGAGACAGAGGCTGGCAATGTATCAATGCCAGGAGTGTGACATTACTTGTAAATACCTTGTAGTTTGGTTCATTTCTCACAAGTGGAAAACGAAATTGCTGGCGAGTGTCATTCCTTTTGCTCACAGTCCTCATGCAAATATTCTGTTTTCTGGATTAGCTGCTCAACTAGGCGGGGGGTTTCCCTGGTCCTTCTCACTGTGTTTCCATCACTTTCTTGTCATGGTGTCCCCAGCTCAAGGTAGTGTCCAAGCATGGCTCCCATTATGCATCGTCCTTGTCTGACGTCTATGTCCTGAACTAGCTATTCGAGAGTGGACCCTCACATGCCCGGACAGTGCTTTTTAGGTGTAGGTAAATCTCTTGAGTGGGTGCAGGCCTGCACTGAGGTCCTTTCAGGACTGGGGTCTCTATTTTAAAGAAAATTCAAGATTGTTATTAATATCTAACAGAAAAAGTGTAAGATGAAAGGCCAGAAGAACAAAAGAAGGAAGAGTAGCTGAGTAGCTAGAACCTGTCTCACTGCTCTCCCCTCATTTCTATACTTGACTTGTTAGCTAATCCAGCTGTATTTCAGATTGGTCTGTGGTGAGTACAACCATATGTCTGAGGGTAGAACTTGGCTAACTTCTTTTTCTGCTATTGGTATAGCTATCACCACTAACTCTTATATTTTGTTTTTTATTGATTATATTTCATGACGAAGTAGCACTCTTAAAACAGTATCTGCATGTTTTAGTATTGTCAGGAAAAAACCTAAGATTCCCATCCTGAATCAAACAAAAAAAGTCAAAATCTGGGGGAAAGAAAAGCTAATCATCATTAAATAAGGTCTAATATTCTCAAAATATTTTCAAACTATTTTATTTAAGCTTTTGAGCTAACATATTTGAAGACATAGAAGTGTCCAAAAACATATCAATAACTTTCTTCTCAGTTTAAAAAAAAAAAAATGTTAGAAATCAACCTTTCTCCTCACGTTGACATGGCATTGTCAGTGATTTGAGAGTTCTGTAATGAAAGGTTTAAGAATGACAGAATAGCACCTCCAAGCCCCACATTTTTTTCCTGTAGGACAATGCTGCTAAAAGTCTTAAAAGGATTACAGTTGCAATATCTGTTCTTTCAGTGGTGTTATGGAATTTTAATACCTGTAGTATCATTTGTCGACAGTTGCTTTCTCATTTGTGATTATACCTTTTTCATTATGTTTAAGAGCTTTGCTACTGATGAGTAGCATATGGTGTTGGCTAAGGAGATGAGACTTTAATGAGATATAGAGCACATCAACAAAATGCATGTTAAATTGCAATGACATGGTTGTGCTGGTAGCATGTGATGCTGTGAGATTAAATCCCTGACAAGATAGTATGAACAAATGCACTATAGCATTCATGCAATAACCAAACTTGTTTGCAACTTGGCCCAGGAGACAGGTTGGCTGGGGGTAGGGGGAGATTGGGTCCTTTCCTGGTTCTGCTATTGATATTTTGTGCAATTTTGTAAAAGTCATTTCATCTCTTTTTTTTTTTTTTTTTCATTTTACGTATGGACACAATGAGGCATAATATTACTTGGATGAAGCGGCAGCTATGACTGCTGATCCAGAAGAGTCATCCAAAAATTATTGCAGTTATCTTGCACATACACAATTTCAAACAGGTAGCTAAATAATAAGAAAACAGAATCAACAACAACAGAACATAAGTGATTTGTGACTTATTGTAATCTGGAGTCACGGACACTCCTTATCAGCTCCACTGAAAATCTTTCATCAGGAAACAGGAGAGCCAGTCTTCTATTCAGCTCAGGGAGGGAGTATGGTGCCTACAGAAGGAAAGAGTAATTAGTGCTTCTTAGTACCCCTGACACTTTGTTTCTCATGCCTGGATTTCCAAATCACCCATTTTTGCAAAGAAAGAGTAAAAGTAATAACACTAATAATATTACTGTGAGTACTTCACAAGGTTTGGAGGGGTTTGGTAACATCGTCACTTTGTTTTGGGAGAGACTAAAGAAATTAAAAGGTAGCTCCCTAGCCAAGGAAAATAGATATAACCTACGTTGGCAATATTTGGAAGATAAAACGAAGTTATAAATGCTCTATCAGAAGCTCCTCTTGGGTCCTTTCATCGTTTTGTAATCCTTCTCTCCCCCTCCCCCAAATGGAGAGAAATACATGGTAGACAAGTAAAACACATAAACCTCTCTTTTTCTGCCCTGCTTATGCAAAGATAAAAAGCTGCTGGCTAATTAGCAGCTTTTGTCCACTCAGCCCTCCCAAAGCTTCCAAGATGCATGGTAGAAATGTATTTTTAATACAAATATATTTATATTTAACCTCTTTATCAAGAGTTTATTCATGTCTGTTTCACCTAAACTTAACAAAGACTGGAAGGCTAAAAGTAGAGAAAACTTGTAGTGCAAATGGTAAAGAAATTACTTTTTTGAGGTACAAAAATTTTCCAAGAAGTACTATTAGATTTAAACTAGAAATGGTCTTAAGCCGAACCAGCCCCCACCAGATTCAAACATTCATGAAATCTGAGGAAATCTAGATCTCTCTGGTCTTTTATATCTGTTGTAGAACTTACCCCAAATCCACTGCCAATTCTGGATGAAATTTTACCTATTTAGAGTAGATCCAAAGCAGAGTTGATCATTACAATTTCAGTTATATTTTACTTGAACAAAATTGTAAAACCTGAGGAACATGGCAGTTGCATCATACATAATATATGCTCAAGCAATATGAACTGCAGGTAAGTGCAGATATTCTTGAGATAGCTTTAAGGCAAGTAATTCTGACAATTTAGCTTCAGGAGCTCAACGTCAGCTAGCTGTTATCTGTTCCAAGGTGAGTTTTGCATGCCATGCTGAGCTTCATGATGCCTTTTCCAGTCAGACAGCAGGAGTCATGTAAGCTAGTTTAAAGTTATCTGCAGTATGCAACATAGCTGTCATGTAGACATATTAGGTGGACTTTATGCTATCTTTTGTTACTAACGTGTTCTGTTAGCTGGTGTTGGTAAGATGGACGTCTGCACCTTAATGCTGCTAGAAGAAAGCTTTTTTTTGTACTTTGCAGAGCAAAAGAACAATTTCTTCCTGCAGCAGTTGTGGAGCAGAAAGTAAATATCAGTTTCATTTGTGGCAAGGAAGAGTTGGTTGGGCTCTTCAGGGTGCACTTTAGTTTACTTGATTTTGTTTAGAACAGCAAGTTGGATTAAAACAGCATGGGCAGCCTGTGGCTTTTGAGATAAATGCACTTACCAAAGAATTCCAGTGCAATTGCCATGCTAAGGCTTTATGTTGGGCTGTGTTGCTATGGCAAGGACAGGCAAACTGAACCCCAAGGGTGGTTGTATTGAAATTTCCTGTGACCTAGCTCACATTATCTCCTAGCGAAGCAGTAAGGCCCAGAGCACACCTCTGCTATTTGCTAAGTCATCTTAAGAGCTCCTTCAAACTATCAGTCTGCACAGCACACGTGTTTGGTTTTGGCAGGGAGATGTTAGGATCAATAAAAATGTTTGGAGACCTTTTCCTACTGTTTCTATGCTGACTAGGTCCTATTTGCCTATCTTAAACAAAAAAAAAATCAAAAGCATTAAAGCAACAAAGCAATAAAGATCAAGGATCTGATCCAGATCCCACTGACAGTGTGGAAAAATGACAGTGTGAAAAAATGTGGAAAAATCTAGATGGGGCTGAAATCTCCAGGTCAGTAAAATTTTTATTTGTACTTCTTAGTGTTCTCTCCTTCCCTGCACACCCTTATTTATCTCTTATCTTGAGCCACACATATTGTGCTATTTTGAGAGGTATTTTCCAAAAGAACTGTATTATCTGCTTGGGATGATGGCCCCTGGCAAAAAGTTTCTTTTGTTCACTGAGTAACACACAACGCATTTTCCTCATAATAGTTTTTTTTTCCTTTTTTTTTTTTTTTTGGTTTTTTAACAATCAGAATTAGAAACTAATTATATTCAGTTATTCAGACCTTGTGAAGAAAGAACTAAGATTATCAAACGTATGACTTTGTTTTTCTTCCCTGTTTGAAAAGTGGACTACAGTACAAATGCTGTATTGTGCTTGCTGCTCTCAAGAGTACACGAATGATAGTTATATATACACATTCATATATATATATATATATTTATAAATATATATTGCTTTCTATATAATATATATATAGTGTTTGCAATGTTCCAGTGATATCAAGACACTCGGTAAAGTATATTAAAATGTTTTATTTTCAGTTCATTTAGTCATTGCACTGAAGATAAAGTTTACATACCTAGATTACTTTTTCATCTTTTGAAAAGTGAATAGCAAATCTTCAATTAAAATCTCATTCTATTCATTGGGGCTATTATTACCAATAAAAGCCCTCACATGTTTTTGCAGAATTTGTCCTGTGGAAACATGACTAGCCATGAGTGTGATGTCAGTATAGCTATGTCCTTAGAAACTCATTTTGCTTGTTATAGAGAAAGACAAAGAAGAAAAAAACTTTGGGAGAGTTTCTGTTATTAAATATTTACCATTTTAGCTCCAGAGTCAGGAAAGGTAAGCTGTGAGTCATTACTTTTTATTTTTAGTATCCAATCTACTTGGAAGTGAATGGAATGCAATAACCTTCAAATCCCTTTAGAAGCTGTGAGTTACATGAAATCATTTATTTGAAAAGCACCATGAGGTAATGGAGGGATTGGTTGGGAGGTACAAGGCCACTTATTCACGTGAATACCCATTTTGTTACTGTTTTTTTCCATATTTAATACTGGAACTCTAGAGATAATAATATGAAAGTTTTTTTTTTTTTTTAATTGGTTTGTGCAATGTTAATTTAAAATTATCAGCAACACAGCAGTAATGATCATAGTGAATTGTTCTTTTGAAACAAAGATAACATATCATTGATCTGATGCTGCGATCATAAGCTTCAAAATATATCAGAGATTTTTAAGGCCACAAGGGAACGTTTTTGATCATCTGGCATCACTCCTTGCATGAGAGAAGCAAAGAGAATTTCACCTAGAAAGTGAAGCACAGAAGTTCCTGCACTTCTGGACAAATACTTGTTTTTGTAAGAGCTTCTGAAAGTGCAATGAAGCTTTCTGGATCACATGCCAAGTTCACTCATTACAGATAAATTTTAATTTCTTTTGAAAGCACAGCTGAATATTTCATTTCATTATACATTCTAACTTCAGCTATGCATTAAACTCGTGAGTGGATTCTGGAAATCAGTGAAAGAGCTGAGTTTTCAGTGAACATTTGGGCGACAAAACTAAGCCAAGAAACATTAAAAAATGCTGAGGGGGTCATTGACTCCATTAATTTTTAAGAAGGTAGGCCTTAGAAATAAATATAAAGAAAGGAAAAATGACCGAAGTCTTAATCCAGCAAAACACTAAAGCATGTCTGTGACTCTCATCCTGCGAAAAGTGTCATCAGACATCAAGACTTAGAAGTTTTAGAAGTGAGGCTTTGGTAGATCGGAATCCAAATGCCTAATCAAAACTATTAATTACCTCTACCAAGGACATACTACAGGTTGTATGAGAAACTCAGTTCTTTCTATTTTACCATTTATTTTACTATTAGAAAACTTCTTTTCTTCATTAACTGTGTTCCTGATATTACCTCAGGATCAACCACAAACGAAGTTTCCTCTGTGCAGTGTAATGCACCTCACAGAACACTAAATGCTACTTGCCCAGAAGATCATACAAGCTAAACAGACAAGAAAAACTGTCATCTCCATGCAAACACTATCTTCCATTACTCTGGTTTTATTCCTGATTATATATTTAATTACATTCTTTAAAATTTTTTTCCAGTACAGAAACCTATGGGCTGCATTTCTTTTTACTCAAGACTCTCACTGAAGACAACAGGATTTAGGGCATACCCCAAATATTGCAGCAACCTTGCAGGTGAGATATACCGTAATATAATTTTTAAATACTGAAATGCTTTTCTTTGAAAGAGGTAGAGTACATAATTGAACCGAGTTGCCATCATTAAAATGCAATTAAAATTGTGAAGCCCTTGAGCACCTTAAATTGCAGTGTGATATAATATTTATCAGGCTGCAGAACACATCATCACATTTACAGCCATCCAGCCGTGTTTTGCTTTTTCACTAGTAGCGATTAACTCCATATCACAGTTTAACGCTGTTAAACTTACCATTTCTTTATATGTCTTTATATGACACCTTAATAACTTTGAGGTGGAGGAGTAGGGACTATAGAGTTACATGGAAGACCAAACTAATGCCAGGAAAACATACACACTTGATAATCATTTGCTTAGAAAGATCCTTTATTTTTTGCTGTTAATGAATAAGAGAGCTAATTTGACAGACATAAACCTATTGAATAATTCTGATACTGCAATCTACAGGTGACTCGCATGCAATAAATATGAATGATACTAATTGAATGCAAGAAATGATCTTTAAAAAGCTAGTAAAAGGCAAATGCATAATTCATATGCCTAATATTTTAAATATTTTGTAGGTAAATCTACACATTTGGTGTGTCTGTATGTGCATATTCTTTTCATGGGGAAAGAAAATCCCGTTATAAATGACCTTCAGTTAAAAACTTGGCAACCATTTCAGATTCTACTTCTAAATTTAACTTTGTCACGTATGCTTGTTAAGAATATAATTCATCGTCTGGGAGTCTGGACTGAAATACCAGTATCTATCATAAATGCTGGACAATTTTTCAATGTATCTGCTTTCACATGTTGGCACAGCTTCAGCTTCAATGACTAGGTCAAATTCAGGTGTTCTGAAATGACACAGTAGGCTTTAAATCATGAATCTGATGACGAACTTATACTACTGTCTTTCAGAAGATTTACGGCTACTTTGATTTTTCCTAAGATTCAGAAGTTGGCTCAGGAACATCTTGTAAACTCAGCCTTAAATCAGAACAAAACAATGCTTTCTTTACACGTGGGTGGGCATAATTAGCTGTTCAATTAGCTGCTTAAGTGCTGTAGTGAGTTTCTCTGTTTTGTTTGTTTTTCCAAGAAGGGAAGAGGGGAGTTGTTCTGGAGGGGAATCAAACACAGCAACCACCTTTTTTTTTTTCCCCTTAGAAATAACTGCCTGTAAACAGAGCTGTTAGAAGTTTGTTCAGTTGATTTCTGTATGCTATGATGTTACCTGGTTATACTTTCGTTTGTCACAGGATACATGTGCACAGTAAGGCCTGGGTAAGGTTGTGTTGAAGTTAGACAGATCATCTGTATTCGTTTCCTAACTATCTGTCTAAATCAGACAACGTAGATCAAATCCAAAATCACTTCCCAATTGAAAAGCAAGAGCTTTAAAAAGAGGGCAACTGACCCAATAGCTCAATAAATTGAGAACTAGAGATATTGCTGCATTTTAGAGCCAGAGACTCAATTTCCAACACCGCCAGTACAACTGCCTCAATTTCCAAACAGCAGCTACAACAGCAATAGAAAAGAGAATTGCACCTACTGTACACAACACAGAAATGGAAAATTAGCTTGGAGAGAGCAGAAGTTCAGAATGGCCAGCATCTGTGAGAAGCACAGACAAGCGGAAGAACTGAATTCCTTCCTTATTCATCTGCTGCTGCATGTGCTGCTTCCTCGGACCATTGTCCAGCCTCGTGCTGCCACAGAAGGGAGCAGCACAAGCCTATCTATCTTCCTCCCTTCACCCCACCTGCCTCCCAAAACTCAGTCTTAAAAGTGGGTTTTTCACTCGTGCTAAAGCCAGGGCTTTTCAGCCTCTGCAGTTGAAATGAGGAGGTAATATAAAAAAGAGAAGAACTTTCTCTGCTACTGACACACTGGGAACCATTTTGAGTCATTAGCAAGCTGTAGCTTAACGAGCGGACAAAGTGCAGGGCTGACATATGGGGATGCGGAGTTAGTAAACGCTGTTTAGACTGAACACCTGAAAAGTGATTACTTGTTTCTGAGGGGGTTTGGACTTGATAATACAGATCATTTTTTTCCTGTGACGGCAATGCAGAAGTTTCCTCTCTGCTAATCTTGGCATTGACATGGAAATTGATGCGTGGCCTTTAGGCAAGTCACTTAATCAATGTGTTTGTAAAATGAGGATAATAACATTTATTTGCCTGCCTGAAAAAGATGCTGTAAGGACAGACCGGTTAATGCTGTAAAATGCTATTTACTAGTAATTGCAAGTATTACTATATTACAGACTTAAACCTTCCTTGACTGGCAATTGAAAAAGCTGAAGAAGTAAATGAAGGCTTTAAATGTAAAGGTGGTGAGGTCTCAGCTAAAGTGGAGATTGTTCCTGTTCCTTTTCATGGAGCTGATTATGCTTTAACCATGGAAACAAACATCATAAAAGACCCAAGCATATATATCTGCTCTTATGCAGAAACAGAATGAGAAGAAATATTGAAAGCATCAAGTTTGGTTCACTGTGTAATTTGCTGCTGATAATGGGTCAAGGGAGGAGTGAGACAGAGCACAGAAAAATGTGTTCGAGCCTTTGTTCTGGGATGCAGATGTAGTCAGCTGTTCTACAAGGTGAAAGAGCACCTCCGATATGAGGGAACTAGATGCATCATTACCATTTTCAACCCAATTAACATCCTTGCTCTTAGGATTAAATGAGGTCTGTTACTCGCCTTTAGACACAGCGGGAAAAAAAAGTTTGTCCTCTGGGTGAGGAGGATGAGCATAATGCTGTAGAGCAGCATGAAGTAGATTAGGACATGAACTATAATCAAGTGGCTTATTTGAGCTATGCTTTTAAGAACAGTCTTGAGAACTCTGAGGCCTAGCACTGCAGTCACTTCTCCAGCAGATGTTTTTCTGAGAAGAGGAGAATATAAACTGTCTGAAGTGGCTAAAAGATCAGATCCTTCAGCTTATTCCTGATAGCAAAAATTTCTGTTGTCTGTAATGCTATCCAGAACCATTCCATTAAAAAACAGTCGTGTTTGCTTCATGTAGCAGTAAAAATAAACAGTCTAAGGTATCTCTAACCACTGCAGCAAATGGTCATATTTTGATCCTTACTTACACTGACTGAGACCTAACAAGCAGCAAAAGTGCCTCTGACTTCATTAGAATTTGGAGGAGATACCTGTTTTATGAGTATTGCATATATCTTGGTTTAACTGCTTAATATTTTCAAGACTGATTTGCTTGCAGTTAATCAAAGAATCGAGGAAGCAGGGAACTAGACTGTGATTAGAGGTATTTCCAAGAATATAGCAAGAGTTATGAAAAGAGAAATGGTTAATTATTTTGCCTATCTCCTATAGGCCTGCTTTCCTATTTGAAATCCTACAGTCAAAACCCATGAGCAAACCCCATCTGGAAAGAAATGGAGAAGACGACACATGAATAGCCTCTCCAGAGCAGAGGTGTAAGACACAAAGACGGGTGCCGAATGGTGGAAGTGTGATACCAGAAATTCTGCTTAACATACCTGAGGTAAATCAGCTTTTGCTTACTGCAATGGACAAGGTTGCATATATTACTAATTTCTTAGGGACATATTTCACTCACAGCGCACTGCACTCTGGGAGGTGGATCAAAAAAATATTATTTTATACTGAACAGAAGAAGGACTTGCATCTTAAACTGTAGTTCTGCAGTGCTTCTCTCTGTGTGGGGGCAGGGAATATGGGAAAGGGTATGAAAGAGACATAGATCTGCTGATGTACGTATTCTCTAGTCCTTTCTCCATACCAGGAGTTTTCCACGTATATTATAGGAGGAAACGAGTATTTCACCTCTGCCTTTATGCTGTAGATGGCCCTGCCACTGGTCACCTGAAATTCTAAGGCCACACACACACTGGTATGCTTATTTGCTGACACGTGTTTTCTGCCGTCAATGACATTTGTGCAAAGCCACTGTTCTGATTAGTCATCAGAGGGTCGTATGAGGTCCAGAACAACAGTGAACGAGATATGGGAGCCTAGGGACTCTTTTTAGTGCTCTGTTCAATTCAAAATCTCTATAAAATGAAATAGGTGCTGTTTTGATTACAGTAGGACTAATATGTTTTCACAAAATCTTGTTTTACTTATTACACTGTTGCTGAGTGGAGTGGGACTTTCCAGGGCATTTACTCAAATGAGAAACCTCTGACAGTCATAAAACTTAATAGGTCAGTTATTACCACCAGTGAATACATCTAAGGACATGCTGTGTTCATAGAAAGTATATTTAAAGGTATGTTTAAAAGGTAAATGCATGTTGTTACAGATGAACAGCATTTTTTCCAGTATTATAAAATTATCAAAAAACAATCAACCCACTCTTCCATATGAGCTCAATATAAAGTCCCCAAGTAATCATATTACATAAACAAATGCTTAGTCCTGCAAAGTGATGAAGGTTATTATTGACACTAGAACACGTATTCTAGTATCTAGATACTAGAATACCTATTCTATGATGCTATTGCTCATGTTCTTGCAGAAATTACTCACAAATGAAAAAAAGTTTGGTGAGCTGCGTAGGGCTGATTTTAATTAGGTTCTTATATATATTTTATATATATGCATATAACAGAGCATATATACATATATATATACATATGCAACAGAGAGAAGTAGTCAATACTGAGAACTTGGGAGAGGAAAGGGAAAAGAAACAAACTGTAGAGAAACTTTGAAAGAGACAATGAGAGCTTTCGCTTGACTACAGATCAACCACAAGACATAGAAGGCTTATTACAAAATGTTTATTAGCCAGATTAAAAGTCTACATGTATAGTATAAAGAATGATTTAGCCATTAACATGAAACTTAGTACTTGCTTATATAATCTTTTATAAGCATGATGGGGATGGAAAAGGGAGATTCCTAGAGTAAAGAGATGCAAAAATGTGACTGAGGTTTCTCTTTGCCTGTTTTTACTTCATTAGACCCAGTTATTCAAGGCAAGTGACAGTTTCAATCAACAAGAAACTCAATTTTCATTGATACAGCAGCAAGGTATGTCATTCTGCCAGCAAAGATAAATTCATGGAGCGTTACGGTAATTAATATGTACATCAGAAAAGGAGACTCTGCATCCTCCTTTAATGAGCTATTCTTAGAGCTAAAAGAATTTCCTAACCCGTGATAGGAGAAGGAGATTTAACCTTACCCTGTCAAACTTAACAGCTAGATCAAAAGTGTTATAAGAGGGGGAATTCCAAGTCATCTCAATTATACAGCACCACATGAAATAATTATATTTGGTTACCCTTTAGAAGGGTATGTTCTTGAGGGATAACTTTTACATATTGCTGCTCCATACATGACTACATTCTGTAAGACTGTGCTGCTTTTGATTTTTAAATAGCTCACACTGCCATAACCTCTGCATATTATCTCTAACTATGAATGACAGTACTATATTTACACACAGATACCATATTCTTGAAGAAGATATCTTCTCTTAACTATTCAGATCTACAACTTAAATCACAAGAAATTAAAGGCTTTGTTGAGTCTTCCCTAATATAATGGAAAGTTATCAGAGAAGACTTTATGTGTTTTACTAATAGAGCTAATATACAATGCAAAAGACTTATTTGAAAAGAAAAGAATGAAGAGAGTAAAACTCCAATCAAACCTCTTTCAGTTAATATGCAAACTTCCACTCAATGCTGAATGTAAAATGCACTAACCTGAAAGGCACGATGTACTGAATTAAACTTATAAAAAGGCTTGTTTTCATGTTTCAAGGTACTAAATAGGTTATGAAATTAATAGAATTTACTGCAGAATTTATTCCAGTTCCCTACAATTGTGTCTGGGTTAAAAGAGGTCTTGACATACATGAAACATTGGTCTACAACATACAAATGAAATCATCTATAAACAAAACAGGGCAAATGATATAAGCTGAAATACTTAGGTTTATTCTCAAGCTCAAAAACTGGGGCAAGACACTTGGCTAATGATTTAAGACAAAATTTGCAAAACATTTGCAGACAACATGTAATTTTTCTTGCTGTTGGCAATTTTTTGAGAATACTTATGTTTCATTTCATAGAAAGGGAATTAGATTCAAACAAAATGACAGCATGTGGCAATTTTTTTTTTTGCTGTTAGTGGTATTGGCTTTTTTTTTTTTCCAGAATACGAATACCCATGCTTCATTTTACAGAAAAGGAATGACTTATTGGGCAACTCCTTAAAAAGAAAACCCTGAAACATTCTGCTGACATGTGTATTCCATATTTCACAATTCTGCCCCTTTACCAAAACACACCAAGATCAAGTAGAAGTCATAAAGCCTATCTCATCCATTGACACTGGGCTCAACATCTTCCACATAACTTCAAATCCTTTAAGGAGAGCAGTGCAACATGACTTACTTGTAAAATAAATGGAAATAAAAAAAAATCCTCAAAACAAAAAGAGCTGGACAAGTGTCAGGGAGAAGATAAAGCAAGTAAATAAAGCAAAGAAAAAATAAAGAAGGATATTAGCTTGGGAAGGTACTAATGTAGTAAATGTATTATTTATAAAAACAAAGCTAATGAAAAATACTAACAAATGAAAAGAATTTGAGTGAAAAATCATCTGAGAAGTTTTGTTTCAAGCAATATAATGCAACTCAAATAGGGAATTCTTCAGGGAACTTCACGTAACTCTTATTCAGAGCTGTAAGTAACACCACAATTTGGACAAAAACAGGAAAAAAACCATAATGCTAACTTTTAGCAATGCTACGGTCCTTTCAGTCTGCTAGAGTAAATATAATTGGCAAGCACAGAGACAAGATTAAAAGCAGGTCTGTTGATCTAACTATATAAAGAATGTATATGGTATTTTATACTGCTGTGAGAAAGAATCTGAAATAGTTAGTCTTGCTTTTTCCTCACTTTCAGGATGTCTAACATGTTTCTAGTAGTCAGCTCTTTTTAAATGTTAGATGTATCAGATGACTTAGGCCAGACACTCACCATGAGCACCTTTTAAAGATGTGACTGGACTACGAATTTATTATTAATAATTATACAGGAGGTTATGTTCTTTGAGCACTGCAGATTTCCTGGATGACAGGAAAGCGGTCACAGTTCACAGAAATTATGTATATGTACAAAAAACCACCAGTGAAGATGAGAGTGTATTTTGAAATGAAAAGGAAAAATAAAAAGATTGCAAACAGAAGACAGAACTGAGGATGACTAAATTTTTGGCCTGATTTGGCCCTTACACAAATTATAGGAATACAAAGAGAATATTGGTGGGACTGCTAAATGATGGGATATTTTCAGTCAGACACACAATTAATCTAAAATGAGAGAAGCTAAAAAGTCCTATCTGATGCCACACAGGTAATACTTGCCCTTAGGTTCTGCAGAGGAACATTTTATGTTCAGAGCAGGATGGTCCCGTTTTAGAGAATGACTCAGCTCCCAGGATGGTACCTTTTGTGAGTTTTCCTTGTGCAGGTGTTGAAACAGATGCCAACACAGCAGTTGCTGAGGAGACAGCTAAGGAGTTACATAGAAGAAGCAACAGATAATTCATGAACTGTAAGAGTGGGGTTTTTTTGAGTGTGTGCAGTTCAAACAGCAGAAGTTGGAAAAAGAACAAATAATTCTAAAAATTTGATCAATGACCTTATCAAAGAAGAAATCTCTCTGCTCTAAAGAAGAGATGGAATCAAAGCAAAACAAACACAGAAGGAAGATTGCTAAACAACTATTAAATAATATTAAGTAAAATAGTTTTACTAAGTAAGAACGAAGGAATCACTTCATTACTACATACTTCAATATTAAATGTTCAGGAAACAAAAATGTGGCTAATTAACCTGAATATCCTTAGAAACTCATACGGAGGGAGATACTCAAGCCTGGATAACTAAGATAACTGTTAGTAATAATCTTTGCTCATTTTATCTTCTGTAGGTAGCACAGAAGAACAACAAATCCCTTCCAAATGTATGCAAACTGTGAGCTGAACATTGCATAGCTTTGCTGTAACTGTATTTGCTTTTATTATGATATATGCATAAATGAAAAGGGAAAGCTATACTACTATTCTTTTAACTCAACTGCCACGGCTGAATCTAAAAACAAGTGTAAAATATGAACCTAGGAATGAAAAAAAAAAATCCAATTTAAAGGTGTCTCCATCTTTAATGAAGAGAAACCCTGTTTCTCTGCGTGAGGATGGATGTACTTCTTACTGTTGTCATCGTGATTAATAGATCACCAGTGTATGAACGTCTGTGTTCCTAACACAAATATGTGCGTGTGTAAGGATGAAACTTTCTGTAAAAAGTAGAATTTTGAGTGCTTCAAGAAAAAAAGGTCAATCAACGAGGTACAAAAATATTTCCTATGGTAAACTGTATTTTAAAAGATTGCATACCTTTAAGTATAGCTCTGTAACATTGGGATTGGGAAGACTGCACCTTCATATGTTGTACTGAGAATACCTTAAGACATCTAGAATAGGTCAGAAACCAGGAGTCCCTTAATTATGGCCTTACCAAAACACTACGTATGTGTATGATATGTAATCTTGTATCAAGGATCAACTTCTTGATACTTCTTGAAGTTCTTGCTATCTTTTGTTATCAAGAAGCTAATCAGGTAACTTTGGAGACATGTAACTATGAGATTGCTGAGACTGGAGATGTACATTTATGAGGATGGACTACTGAGTATGACAGAATACTCTCAATAGTCTCTTTAGGTGGATGCCAGAAAACAACAGCTCAAGATATGCATTACATATGTAAGGATAGTAGTTTTCAATCTTTTGACAAATGTTGAGATCAAAATTTGGGCAATGTTTGACTATGAAATGGCTTCAATCATTTTGTCATTTTCTATGTAGAATTTGATTGTGTGCATACATACTCCATGTCCAGAAATCATTGTGAACTATCTCATAGTGTATAACATGCCTGATAATAGACACATATATAACGTATAGACATGAATTACATCATAACTTAGCTTTACAGCCTACAGCTGTAATTTTTAACAGTCTTGGTGATTGTGCAATGGTTGTACATCATTACAAAGAATCAAGGATTACCCTCAGACATTTATGGGTTATCATCAAGCAAGCCAGACAGGAGAAAATGATTGCCTTCCCAAACCATTATTTGGTCCTGATGAGAAGCCCTAAGTCACAAGAGCATTTGCAACTTTTTTGCTGGACTCATGGAATGATTAGCCTGTATTTAGTAGACTATCAAAAGGGAAAATTGTAGCCTGGTAAACGTGATTTTTTGCTATTGCTAGGAAAAGGCAATTGGTCTGACAGTGCTGGGTCTTAGGACTTGTCTGAGCTTGCCTTGGCCTCAGCTTCATGTAATATGTTCTTACTGGCCGACTGACTATCGCTGAAGCTCTGTGAGGGCCATCTGGGATAAGGATCTGCCACCCCCAGAGAGTCCCTATGTGATAAAGAGCCACTCTTAGCACCGTTTAAGGCTGGGAGAGGCTGTTGTGCAGTTTTCAGACTTCAACTGGGAACCTCAGGATTTAGGAGGAAAAGCCGTCCCCCCTTCCTGAACATACCACTTGCAGCAAAGACCTCAGGGGGCTGATGCCCTGCTGTAACACGAGCCTTTCCCACATCTGCTTGAGGAAGACCTGAACTGTCAACCGTAGGACCTTGAAGTACACTGGAAAGGTGAGCATAACATTAAGAGAAAAGGGACAGGTATTACCAAGTTTTTTGTCTCATCATTAATGAGATTTTCCTGTATTATGCAGCTAATTTGGACTATTAGATTGTAAAAACATTTATTGGTCCAATGGTGGAGTCTTAGTTCCATATAAATGGTTCTCTTTTGCCTATAACAAGATTTTGAGTGAGAACCAAGTCAGTGAAAAGGTACTGATATTTGGCTGTTAAAAATTAAATCACAACCAATCACTGTCATATAGACAAGATCCAGAAAACTGTCTGCATAAAGCATTTGGAACTTCAAAAAGTTCTGTAATTCACACACAATTTGCACAGCATTCATCTACTTTTATCGTGGTGAACTCAGTACACACAAAATCTTAAATCCTGGAAAGCAATTTAGTTTTTTTTTAAGAAAACTAAAATAGTTATACAATATTAATGAACTGATGTTGACAAAGCTGCAACCAATCCCAAAGAGAGCTCCTAGGTAAGATTACTCCTCAGGGATTTTGGGAAAGACCTGGCAATGAACAATGAAAGAATGCAATATTGCTGAGGAAGCCACAGTGCTTCTTCCTTAATTACAAGTGTATTCAATATAAACCATTGAATATCTGGCTAGTGTTAATAAGCTGCTTGTTTAATAGCAATTGACTGCTATAGAAGCCAAAGGTAATAACAGCA